TGCTCAGCCTGCGCCGCGCACTCGAATATCGACATTCGACGTCCGCGAGCACACGCGACCTGACCGAAACCCTGAGAGAGAGAGAGTGGGAGGGCGTGTGTGAGAATGGGTGAGAGGGAGGGAGGCAGTGAGAGAGAGAGAGAGTTTCGACAACATGGAGTGGGGAGAATGAATGCACCAGCAAACCTATCCCTTGCATCCTGCTTCCTTCCCGCCTACTCCCTTTCCGTCACTTCTTCCTTTCTCCTGCTCGTTTCTTCTTCGACCTTTCGAACCTTTCTTAACTTTTTCTTTCTATGCATTCGTTGCACGCAGCGATTTTTCTGTGGACCTTTTCCATCTCTTCGTTTCGCTCCACTGCTGCATTTAATGTAATAAGTTTGTTTTATCACCACGACGATTAGAATCAAACTCGTGTAAAAAATTTCGCACTAGAATAAATTTTCAGTTATGAAACTCAAATAGTTTGAAACTCAATAGTAGATAATTGGAACGGTCATGATTCAATTTTAAGCTGATCAACCGGAGAGTTTGTAAATCGAGTTCTAATAACGCACGGGTCAATAATATATTCGCTAGCTATTTTTAATAAGGAAACACCGTGCGCAAACTTTTTATATACACACGAAACGTGTCTTGCAACCGCTTGATAACTTTGTAAAGAGTATATAGAAGAAACTTGATACGTTAAATGCGCGTTCTTTACTTTTTCATTCGATCCCTTTAAAACGTATCTTCCTCAATAACGATCACATCAAGCTGTTTCGTATCACTTCTTTAATGTAAACCAATTATACTGAAATATATGCGACAAATGCGACTCTCACCTTTTCATAAATATTTCACTTTTATTGATATTTCAATCTAATCAAAATTTACCTGTACTCTATGTTCGTATAACTTTTGAATCCTATAGGCGCCAATGTCTTCAGTTGTGCCAACTTTATAATTTCAATCCTTTGCTATGTTCAATTTAGACAACCTCACTTTGTTTAACGTAGTTCTGTTTTTTGTTTTTTCTTCAGAAAATCAATTCACGCAAAATACAATGAAATTTTCAAAATTTTATTGGACACTGTTCATCACGTGTTGCTTGCCGCATAGTATGTTACGTAAATATCAGTTTAATGTGTACCTTTGTTTATTCATGGATGTTTTTAGGCCACGCCCTGGAATGCTATGTGTGTACAAATCAAGACGGTAACAGAGAAAAGTGTTTAAAAAGTACAAAAACGTGTGAACAAGGTCAGGATACTTGCTTATCAGATATTATGTGGGGAAGTAAGTTTGAAACTTTATATACCTGTTAATTTTTCGAAAAACAATGTTTGAGGTTATGTTTACATCAGTTGATGATCGATGATTTATTCAAATAAACGATGATTTCTGTTATTTATAGGTACACCATATTGGTCGCACGGTGCAAAAAAACAATATTACGTTTCAAAAAAATGTGCCACGAAAAAGGAATGTGAAAGAATAAAACATTCTAATATGGAAGCTTGCACGTATATATGGTATCAGGATTGGAAATGTACCGATTGTTGTCAAGGAGATAGGTGCAATTATTATATTATTGTGAGTCAAGTACTCAGTTCAGTTTTGATCTTAAGAACTCAGGTCAAAATAGTATTATCTAAGTACATTAAGCTCATTTGGTTTGTTTCAGTCCATGGCAGGAAAAGTACATGCCTCTTGGTTCATCGTGATTGCTGTTTTGGCATCATTACACAATCTGTGGAATAGATTGGACTAACCAATAACACTGTAAAGTGTTACATCACATCGATTATTTATTACTACTAGTATTTCTGCCAATCAGAAAAACTATAAGATTTAATTACAAACGAAATAAATAAATCGACATTATATATATACAGGGTGAGACACCTAACTTGATCACCTCAAATAACTTTTGAATTATGCATTCTACAAAAAATTATTTCTACAAAGATTACATGGTATCAAGATGGACATCACGTGGTGTACACGACATCTTTATAAGTGGAGACGTTTAGGAGATTTGAAGGTCAACTTTGTTTTTTTAAATTGAATGCCTATTTTTTTTTATGCCAGTTCGAAAGCTCATTAATTTCCAAGTAGAAAAGTATTAAACATTGTTTGTCCTAGAACTAATAATTAATGAGATATTAACGAAAGTTTGACCCGCATAAGGTCGCGTTGAAAGATCATGGCCGCCTCGTTCACCAAACTTGTCACCATTGGATTATTTTCTCTGGGGTACATTAAAAAATAAAGTGTATCATGAACCACCAACAACGGTAGAGGATATGCAAGAACGAATTCGTGAAGCGTGTGCTACACTTGCTTCAGGGATAATTCGCGACCATATACAGATCATATGAATCAAACTGTTGTTAATATCTCCTTAATTAGCTTTAGGACAAACAATGTTTAATATTTTTCTACTTGGAAATTAATGAGCTTTCCAACTGCCGTAAAAAAAAATAGGGCACTCCATTTAAAAAAACAAAGTTGACCTTCAAATCTCCTAAACGCCTCCACTTATAAAGAATTCGTGTACACCACGTGATGTCCCTCTTGATACCATGTAACCTTTGTAGAAATAATTTTTTGTACAATGCATAATTTAGAAGTTATTCGAGGAGATCAAGTTAGGTGTCTCATATTTAGGAACAAAACGACGATGCACAACGTTCTTGCGATGAACATCATATGTGTTATCGGTCATGTATTACTAATATCCGTCCAATACAAATTTTTTTATACATTCTATTAACGCATAGTCTATTTAGCAATAAATATTTTATACTTATAAATAAAATAACGTATAACATACAGAAGTGTGTATGTAATGTATCCCCTTTGTCTTAAAACATATTTATGTTTATTTATTACCTAAGAAATACCGTAAATTTCTGAACGTTACTTAGGGTAATTCGTTGACTTTAGGTTCCTGGCAAAGAAAAAAAATGTCGTGCACTTGGTACGCAATCTTGTGAGAAATTGTCGCTTGAAATGGCCGTAACTCGAAAAAGCGATCGAATTTGAGACAACGTATTTGTTTTTATGATCGTATCACATACCAGCTTAGTGGATATTCAATATCTGTGGAGATAAACAGAATAGTTATTATTTAAAGAAATTTCATATCGTTTATTGTACCGAATAGTACCGCTTAGTGAATACATAGGTCATTATACAGGGAAACCTTTTTTCTGCATGTTTTTTGTGTAAGTATAAAACGTTAATTTTTGATAAAACTGGTATTTTGTGGGCACACATACGTGTATGTGTGCGTGGTGTCGCGTAGGACATGCGAACAATAAATGCCTCGTGCCTAGGAATTAGCTGCAAATCTTTACAGTATCAGTTATGTGGTGTATTAATTAATTATACGTTTGATAAATTAATGTCATCTACGTTCAAAACACTAATTGATTTGTGGACGAATCATTTTTCCTGTAATCTTGGTAAAAATTGCACTATTGATGTTCAAAGTGTTTCTCAATAACCGTGGAACGTCCTAATGGGGCAAAGAACGTTCGATTTGGGAAGAGAAAATATTTGATTTCACGTTATCTAAACTTATCGGTAAAATGAACAAATGAAAAAACCAATATTATAAACAGATGACTGATATAGACTGAACGATTCTATTCTACTCGCGGCGACGAAGCGATTCTAACCAATTGAATGATTCAGTTTGCTCGTACATCGATCGATCTTTGAACGCTAATTAGCGCACGTTTAGTCGTGTACCGAATGTTCAGGCTGTAACCAGTGTCTCATTCATCGTACAAAATTACGATACTATTCATGGTGAGCGAATTATACAAAACATTACTCCGGAGGAGTAATTCTGAGAAAGCCGATATATTTCGTACGCATCGTGAGTGTAACGAACGTTATTTTCAGTTGTACAACATGAAAAATTGGAAAGTTGAGAGTTTGTACAAGATGTTCAGCCGTAAGAAAGAATTGAACGTTTCTCAAGATACAAAATTGGCGAGATATCTAACGACTTTGGATCTGATAGACCTCGGAATCGGCTCAACCCTCGGCGTAGGTGTTTACGTTCTCGCGGGTTCAGTTTCAAAAAACATCGCAGGTCCTGCCGTGATAATTCCGTTCGCGATCGCATCCACGTTTGCAGGTAGGATTTGTGTAGAAAAATTGAAAAAGCGAATTGGAAAGAATGAATTATTTCTTATTACAAAGGCCTATGCTACGCAGAATTCAGCGCAAGAGTTCCATGTGCTGGATCGGGCTACCTATACAGCTATGTTACGATGGGTGAATTTATGGCTTTCCTAATCGGCTGGACGCTAATACTGAGGTATGTAATTGGCTCCGTGATCATACTAAAGGGACTGAGCACATACGTAGATGCGTTGTTCAACAGTATCATGCGAAATGCGTTTGAATCGGCTGCACATATCGACATTAATCATTTCTCTTCGTATCCGGACTTTTTTGCCTTCGGAGTGACTTTAATCTTCTCTGGTAAGAAATTCTCGATCGTCGATACAATCGATACGATTGAAAAGTGAAGGAAATAAGAAGAAGGTGAAAAGAAAAGAAATATGAAAATGAACGAAATCACTAAATCTTCTCTTATACGGTTTTTATTAACTACGTTGGCATTCGGGGCAAAGGAGTCTTCGGTGGCGAACAATTTTTTAAGGGATCGCTGTATCCCTTAAAGGTAAAGTTTGACCGATAATGTCCGATACACGTTTTTCACAAAAGAAAACTAATAGCCCATAATGTATTGTGTGTCGTTGGACGGAAAGCTGACGTAACCAATTGGAAAACGAAGCCTCCGTGTACGGAAAAGAATTGTGATTACGGAATCGGAGGATTCGTGCCTTCTGGTATAGCTGATATCATAAGAGGAGTGACGAAGTAGTTTTACGGATTCTTTGGTTTCGATTGCGTCGCAACTACCAGAGAGGAAGCGAATGATCGATACCAATAGCGATCGTTGCCTCATTAATTGTCGCCTTTCTCACGTATTTCGCCGTATCTGCATTAACCACCGTCCTTCCTTATTACGGGCAAAATGGCTGGTAACGATAGGCGCTATTTGTGGCCTATGCACAATATAAA